TCAACCCATTAACACACTCTTCAGCCAAAAGTTGATCTTCATCTTAGGAAGAATGAACGTTGACTTCCATGGTTATCGGCCTCACACTGAACCCATTGTTCTCATCTCCTGGCCTTGCCCTGCTACTTGGTTCTTTCCAGTTACCACTTGACATTCCAGTCTCCATATACAAGGTGGAATGACTACCGCTCTTCCCACATTGGTACTTCTCCCTGTCACCCACATGGACTCTGAGTAAGGGAAGAATCTTTACATTATCTCCAGGGACTCCTCTGTATACCCACTTTCACCCTCATTTTCCTGGACCTGAAGCCCTGAAACTAGGAAGAGATTTACTTGAGCATAACACTACCAATCACTGGTTATGGTGACCCTCTCTCAGAGGGCACTGACTACTTCTTCATATGGCTTTTTTTTTTTTTAGAGACAGGGTTTCTCTGTAGCTTTGGAGCCCGTCCTGAAACTCACTCTGTAGACCTGACTGGTGTCAAACTCACAGAGGTCCAGCTGCCTTTTCTCCAGAGTGCTGGGATAAAGGCATGTGCCACCACCACTCAGCTAAATATGGTAGCCTAAGATGGCTTTGGACTCAAAGTCTTCTTTCCTTTGCCTCTCAATTGATGCAATTACAGCCATTTGTCATCATACCAAGTTTGGTAAAGTTCTTGTGAGGAACGCAGGTTATTGGAAGTTGTCTAACTGGCAGAGGATTCTTTCCTGTCCATATACTACTCCCTTTCTTCAATGACTTCCAAAACATGTGTTTCTTTGGGCTGGGCTGTAGCTCATTTGGAAGAGTGCTTGCCTAGCATGCATGACGCCCTGGTTTTGATTTCCAGCACCATCGAAAAACCAATGGTGTGCTCAGCTGTAATCCAAGTACTTGGGGAGGTTGAGGCAGTAGAAGTTAATGTCATCTGCTATGACTTTGGGATCAGTCTGGACTCCACGAGATCCTGTCTGCAAAACAAAACAGAAAAAGGAAACAACAATAAAAATAGTTCTTGCTCATACTGCTGTACCATGGTTCTGCTCAGCTCTTGAACACATAGTGATACATAGCAAGTGAGATAGGTAAGGAGTTTCAGCCTAGGATAGCGTGGTGAAGGGAGGAGGAGGAGGAGGAGGAGGAGGAGAATTTGCCTTTGCTTTCCCCAATCTATGTCCCTACCCAAGGTAGACTTTTGAAGCCTGTAAACCTACATCACAGCCTCTGTGCTGCCCTTGTTGCCTGTTGGCATCCTTTTTGTTCAGCCCATTCTCAGAATCTGTTCAGCTGCTAGCTAGACGGTATTTCCCATGTTGGAGTGACTTTGGATCTACACACACACACACACACACACACACACACACACACACCCTTGCCTTACCTCCTGCAGCACATAACTGGATCTAAAGTGTTTGGAGGGTATCGTGAACATCTCAGCCAATTTACACTTGCACTCTGTAGCAGATACAGTGAAATGTCTGATTTATATCTTAGTAGATACTCAGTTTTCCCGGTTTACAGATTCATAGCTGAAAGGCACCTAGCAATGTAGGCTGGACACACGGTTAAATCAGTCAGTAGTTGCCTGCCTCCAATCTAAGTACTAACCAGGACGTACTGTGTTTCGCTCCTGAGATCTGACGCGTCTAGGTGGTAAAATCACAAACCGCTACACGCTTCTCCTGACCCCGCTCCAAATGGATTGTGTGTGTGAAGGAAATTGGGGCCGGGTAGTTAAGACGCACCTACTTTGACTTCCACGCTGCGGAACTCGTAATCCCAAAAGGCCTAGTCCGAAGTCCTCGAAAAATTCCAGGTGGCAGTGTGGGAGATGTAAGAGCCTCTGCTTTGGATGCAACTCCAACTCATGGCTAGTTTAATTTATTTATTTTTATTTTTGTGGAAGCAGGGGGGCGATCAATGAAGGGGAAGGGGCGGGGAGAGGGAGGAGGTGGACCCAGAGTGCTGACGTATGCGAGGGCGAGCCAATGGCTAGTGGGGGGCGTTCCCTCCCATTCAGGACTCCTCGCCTGGTTCCGAAGGTATGTTAAACAGCTGCTTTTAATTTGGTCTCCCCAATTTCGGTGTTTTGGGGGGCTAGTTCCTTTGCTGCTTGCTTTGGCTGGCCTAATGCTGTGTAGGTACCGTGGTCCCCAAGACCGAGTTGCGTGGAGGCTCGGAGTCCCGCGGCCGAGGTAGGCTAGAGGCAGGCCAGGAAGAAGAGCGCTTGGCGCCGCCCGCTCATAGTGTGTTTCTAAGCCGGACTGGAGCCGTGGGGAGGGGGCCAGCCTGGCCTGGGGTCGCCCTTCCGCCGGCCGCGCCGCCCAGTTCATTTCACCAAGCAGTCGGTTTCGGTAGGTCTCGGCAGCGCATTGGTGAATGGGCCGACAGGAGACCAACTGCTCTTGTAATGATTTAAAAATATTTAAAAAGAAAAAATCTCATAAAGAAAAAAATGAGGTATTTCTGTACAGCGAATGGAACAGGGCCCGGGCTGCGGCGCGCGGGCTCGGCAGGGGGCGGCGGCCGCAGCCTGGTGGGTCGGGCCCACCGAGCTCGCGGTGTCCGGAGTTGGTTGACCGCTGGAGTTTAGAGCAAGCCGTGGCCGGCGTTCTTTCTCCGCTAACCAGGGTGGGCGAGTGCAGTAGCCGCCCCAAGGGTTTGTTTCTGTCGGCAAACTTGGTGGGGTCGGTGGGCGAGCTCTGGGGAGGCGCGGGCATCATGGGCCCGCGGTTGTTAAGGACTCTGGGGGCGGGAGCAATGCTGTATTTGCGGGAGGAGATTGGGGGCGGGAGAGGTTCTGGCCACTAACCCCGGGAGCCGGCGGTGTCTCCGAACTCCTGAACCGTGGCAATCTAGCAAGTATTCGGCGCCAGAGCCAGATAGGCTGCGATCCGGCGGGGAGCGCTGGCTGAGTGTCGAAAAGCTCCAGGAACTCGGCGAATTCAATTCGCGGCCCCAGCTGATCCCCTTGCAAACATGGAGCTGCCTCCTTCCCCGCCCACCTCACGGTGGCGGCGACTGCTCCCCCTCCCCGCGTAGTGTGCTGCCTGGGCTCCTCTTTCCGCGAGGTGCCGCTGCGTGCCACAGGGCTGCGTACGGGGTGGGGGCAGTCGTGCGCGCACGCGCGCGCGCGCGCGCTCACAAGGGGGTGGCCTGAAAGGGGCAGTGAAGGTCGGAAACTGGGAAAAGAGACTCCACGCTTGGAATAGGGAAAAGGAAATGCATCAGCGGGCTGGGAGGGGCGCGCCTGTCAGCCGAATGGCGGCTGCGGGCCGAGAGGCGGGGCGCCAGCGCAAAGTGCGGGCAGTGGCGGTGTAGCGAGGGGAGGGGAGGCTCAGAAGCAGGCAGAGTGGCCACCTCTGCCTCTACTGCCTGGCCTAGACTGTTTACTATCTCCTGCGGGGAGCTTGTGCAACCGGCCTGCAGGGGACCCGAGAGGGGCGGGGCCATTTCCTCTTCTACCCACTTCAGGCTCTCCAGAGGCCCCGCCTTCTCTTGTCTTCCACTGGTTGGGTGCGAGTCCCTTTTTCCCTTCTTGTGTATGGATTGGATGACATTCTCTAGAGCTCCGCCTATTGGGAGGCGGGACTTGAGTTTAAGTTGCTAAGATTTTTTTCTTCGAAGGGCGGAGGGAGGATTCCTGGGGCTTATGCGAGGTGCAAGCCCCCGCCCCTTCTTCTGATTGGCGAATTCGATAGGCCTTCCCCTTCTAGGACAAGCTAGGAGGGGACATCCTCCTGCTCCCTGCCCCCCCTTCTCGTGAGCGCGCTCGGCACATGTTTGCGGCCCGCCTAGCTCCCTGCAACTTCCCTCCCGCCCGGAAGTCTCAGGCTCCGCGCCCTTAGTAAGGGGGGGCGGGGAATGCCTTGGAGGCACACAAAGATTCTTCCGAGTGTAGATATCTGGTAGCCTTACAATTGCGCTTTTGCGCTGGAAAGCGTAGCTCCGGGTCTGCCCCATTGAGCGCAGGGAATGAGTTCGGGTCAACCGTTGCTGTTTTCCTTCGTGCCCCTTGACTTCCTTAAATTTAAGTTTGAGAAAGCTTGAACACAGGCCGTATCCTTAATTCCCTGGGCAAGACAGTTGTGGTCCTTAGTCTACGGAATATGATGACAACCTAGTGATGGAATCGTAGGCAAGATCTAAGATACTTCGCTCTCTTGCGGTCAAGGGAAGTCCAGGAGACCTATTTCTGGCAAGGATTGGGCGGGGGTGGGGGTTTGTTGATACCATGGTGAGTGTGCTGTGGGGTAGGTACCCTGTCTAGTGGGTAAGGCGTTTCATTTCAAGGTAGGAATCTGTCAATTCTGGAGTGCTGCTTTCTCAACCTCTGGACGGTTTGGCCCAGTGTTTTTCTTATTTTTAGAGCCCTGTCCTGGCCCAGGGCTTGGCTTGGTTACCATTGTGACCGCTCCCACCTGTCGGGCACTCTGGTAGTTCACAACTCATTACTATGGCCTCGCGGCATGGAGCCGTCCTCAGAGTCAAAACCCACCTGTTGCCAACACTTATTTATGGTAGTCTCCGCAGGATTACAGGAGGGCAGCATTGGGTTTACGAAACGTTTTCCCGTGCAATATCTCTTGGGGACACACAACTCTAGGGAGATTTTTTTTTCTTTTTTTGTCGGTAGAGCCCTGGAAGACTAGTTCGGCCTAACTGTTTCTCTTTGTGCAGCGAAAGCACCCCCAAAGCAACATAGGCTTTGTTCCCACGCTTTATTGGTGAATAAATAAAAGGAACTAGGTATTTGAAAGCACTTTGTGTGCTTCAGGCATTGTTATTTACCCAGAGGACTTAGAGACAGCCATTAGCGCATTCTGCCAAAGAGACTATGGGTGCTCCCCCGATTTTTTTTTTTTTTTGAAAAGGCTGGTCTAGAGTTCTTAAATTCAAGCAATATTCTTCCCTCGTTCTTCCGAATAGTTGGAATGGCAGTTTCTTTTCTTTGAACAGTCATTTTCAAGACCACCCCCTCACAGACACACTGGAATTTTTACTCATCCTCTGAATATGAATGCACCCTCAAGGTTTATTTATACCGTGGTCTGTTTGAGTTATTCTGCATTTCGGTTCTCCTGGCCTAAAATGTCTCTGGATCTACCCTGCCAATAGGGAATACATTTTGCCTCATGCTCCGCCTTCCGGAGGCTTGCCCAGGCAGTGACATTTAAAGGCCTCCGCTCGCTTGTCTCCGCCCTCTGAGGGCTGCATATTCAGGTTCTCGGAGCGTCACAGAATGCAGCCAGCCGTAGCGACTGGCTTGTAATCTCCGGGTTTATCAGTTTAAAGCTCTAGACCTTAATTTGGGAGTCTGCTGCTGAAAGTAGCTGCTGAATGGTCCAGATGGCTGTATTTAGGAGACAGTGAAAAGTGTAAAAATAAGTGGGTAGAAGGATAAGGTTTTCTGTCATTGTTTTGGTAAGTCCTCTACGGTGGTAATACTACTGTCTTCCTCAAAGTCCTAAAGCCTCGGGTTTCAACCCTGAGCTCCGCGCCATTTCCAGTTCGGGCCTTGGAACTCTGAGCTTCAGTCTCTAGTGTAAACATTCCACAAAAGGACTGCTAAGGTTCAGCAACGCGCAGGGCGGAATGGGCTCCTTCCTGGACCGGCACCGTGTCCAATGGCGGCTCCTACCGGCGCCAAGATAATCCAATCAGATTGTTGGGGGCGGGGCCTGTCCCAGCAGTGTGGTGGGTGGAGTCTGCTTCACTTACAGACATTTTTACCCCACATTGGTTACTTACCTTCCTGGGGCTGTGAGAGAACCGAAGGTAGCCTTCCAATGCGGTGACCAGCGGAGGCGGGAGCCGATTTGTTAGGCCTGTGGCTGGGGCGGTAGTGGGGTGGGATATGTGGGACTCTCCAATGAAATGTGAGGAGGTGCTTTTCTTCCTCCAATAAAATTGCAGCCTGGGGGAGGGATTCGGCAATCAGTCTCCAATAGGCGGGGTTGAGTTAGGGACGCTCCCCGCCAATAGGGGCGTGGAGTAGGTGAGCGGCTCACCCTCCCCTCCCAGCGAGGAAAGGAGGTGGGAGTAGGTCTGTACGGCGCAGTGATTGGCTCAACCTTTGACGGATGGCTAGTGTATCCCGTGGCTGGGCGAGGTTAAGCCTTCCCTCGGCGGGGCGGGCTGGGAGAGTGGGCGGGATTTCCCGGGTAACAGAGAAGCGGCCGCGGCGGTAGAGGCGGCAGAGACGGTTTCTCCATCTTCCCCCCTCCCCTTCCCCCCTTAGAGTTTCCCTCCCTCCCTCCCTCCTTCCCAGTCTGGGCACCCAGGCCTGTGACCGCTTCGTGAGCGCATAGGAGGTTGCCAGTCCGCTCTTGCGGGCCTGTGCCCGCGCCGTTCCGGGGCCTCCGTGCTGGGTGCGAGGCTCACGCCGGGAGCGACGCGCAGGCTGAGTGGCTGGAGCTTTTGCGGTGAGAGCACGCCGCGTCGCGGTCTGCCCGGCAGCTGGGTGGCGGGTAACCCGGGACTGGAGGGCGTGTGTTTTTCGGGGGGGCTGACCTCGGCTTCCCGTGCGTGACTATGGGGGGCGGAGCGGGGCCGCACTCCGTGCGGGAGGGGGAGGAGAGCGTAGTCCCGGTGCGCACGGAGGGGCGGGCCCTCGTCCCGCCGATCAGAGGCGGGGCCGGCGCGCGTGCGGTGGTGGAGAAAGGGGCGGGACGCACTCGCGCTAAATGCCCGCGGCTGCGGCCCCGCCTCTCCTCCCCGCCGCGTGAGTGGGGCCTTGGGCTGCATCGCTTCGGGCCGGCGGGGTGTGCGGGACGGGAAGGGGGTCTCCCGCGTGCGGCTTTCAGGGCGCGGCGGCGAGGGGGCGTGAAGCCCGTGTTCCCCCGCCTTCGCGGGATCCGGTTGGCCGGAAGGCGCGTTCGGGGCTGCGATGCCACGCCTCCCGCCCCGCCCCCGCCGGGTTTCCGCCTCCTTGGCAGTGAAGCGGCGCCGGGGAAAGCCCGCTGTTGCGTCTGGCCAGGACTTGGGGCTCCGTGTGTGCCCCGCCCTTCGTCCCTGTGGGTGGGAGGGGCTCTCGCCGACGGGGAGCGGTGAAGGTGTTCGGACTTTATGCTGTGGCTCTTTAGTCTATTCTGCCGTGGGCATAGGGACCCTGAGCTGTAGTCTTCCCTACTTTGCCCCTAACATCGTGGTTGGTGCCGTAACAGCTTAGAGAGTAGAAGCGTGGTCAGCGGCTCCTTTTAGTTGTAATTATTGGGAGGAGATGCTCAGCGTCCTCTCAGTGCCCGCGGTGGGGTGCGGCTGGTGCTGTGCCCATGCTTCCGCGGCAGTGACTGGTGGGGGAGGGTCAGAGCCATCAGGAGCTGGAAACGTGGAGGGCGCCAACCTTTCCTGGAGTTCTCTTGATGTTCAACGACTGTGTGTGGCTTTATGGGCGGAGCTTCGCATCAGAGGGGTTGTGAATAGATAGCTAAAATTTGCGACCGGTTTTGGTGCCTTAGGACTTTAAAAGACTCAGTTTTGTCCTTCGAGCTGCTCACAAATCTGAGATTTTATTTTTATACAAAAGATTGAATTTACATTTTAGTCTCATAAGTGATTTTTGACAAAGGTGTCTTAAAAAATGATTGTGCATGTTGGAATTTCTCTGAGGCACATAGTCATTGCTCCACTACTAGACTATGTATCTCAGGCCTGATTCGTCTTCTTTCCCCCTTTTTTTGGGGGGGGGGCGTATCCGAGACAGGGTTTCTCTGTGTAGTTTTAGAGCCAGTCCTGGAACTCGCTCTGTAGACCAGGCTGGAGATATCCACCGGTCTTTGCCTCTCCAGTGCTGGGATTAAAGGTAGGTGTGTGCCACTGCCAGGCCTGTGCCAGGTCTGCCTTCCTTTCTTCTTCCTTTTTTTTTTTTTTTTTTTTAAAGTTAGGGCTTTCACTCTGTATCCCTACCTGGCTTTGAAGATTTTTTTTAAAGTAAAAAAACTCTGATTTCTTGACTGATACTCTCACCAAAGAAGGTTTTGTTACATAATCCCCAAAGGTAAATTAGAATTTAGTATTCTTTTGAGTTTATATAATGGTTAGTCCATAAAGCTTAATGTTGCTCTTTTTAGATACAAAGTAGGTTGAACTCCTGTGGAACCTGTATAGCATAGCCTACCAACCTGTGCTGCAAAGTTACTTTGACTATTAGGGATTTAGTGCATAGGTAATCATATATATATATATATATATATGATTACCAAGATGGGATGTTGTTAGAGCTTAGAAAAATAACTTTTCATGAAAAGTCAACATTGAATCCTTGTTTAGGCACTGGTGTCTGAATGAGTATGTGTAAACTGCTTTTAAAAAATGATTTATAGTATGTGGTTTGTGTGTAGGAGTGTGTGCACCCACCCGCAAGGGTCAGAAGAGGGTGTCAGATCCCTGGTAGCTGGAGTTGACAAGTGGTTGTGAGCCACCTGGGAAGGGTCTGGGAACCCAACTCAGGTCCTCTGTATTGAACTATCTCTGCAATCCAGTGTCTGTATTTAGTCATACTGAAGTTAAATTCTAGGTTTGTCCTTTGCTCAATAGAGGCTGAAAACCATGCACTGTGCAATACTTAAAGAAGTTAAGTGTTCACTTTCAGCTAAAGAATTAGCAATAGTAATAGAATTGATGTGGAGGCCAAAAAATAAGAGCTTGGGTGTTTTACAGATGTATAAACTTAAAAAGGTAGTGAACGATACTTTGCCTTTGAGAAAAATTTGGCCAGCCCATAGTTAATTTTACCATTTGAAGTTCAGTCTGGGAAATATTGATGACTTTCTGTTTTGGGTTGAGACAGGGTTTCTCCGCCTAGCCCTGGCTGTCCTGGAACTATAGACCAGGCTGGCCTAGAACTTTCAGAACTCAGCAAGTTTCTGCATCTCTCAAGTGCTGGGATTAAAGGCATGTGCCACACACACACCTGGCATAAGATATATTCTTATAGAATGTACAGTATATAGTATGCTGGAGTCACAAATCCTAAGCTTTAAAAATTCAAGTAAGAGGTGCTGGAGAAGACCGCTCAGTGTTTAAGAGCAGTGTCTGCACTTCTGGAGGACCTGGGTTCAATTCCCAGTACCCACAAGGCAGTTCATAACTGTAACTCTAGTTTCAGGGGATCCAACACCTTCACAGAGAAATGCAGGCAAAACACCAATGTACATAACAATTTAAAAAATAAAATTAAAATTAAAAAAATTTCAAGTAAAAATCTAGTTAGGATTTTTTTGTGCTTTTCCATACATCAGTATTATATGCTTTAGTTTTGTTCACAGTTAAAATAGCTTAGAATTATTAGCATTTGGGAGCACAGACAGATGGCTAAGCTGTAAGAATGTGTATTATTACCCTTGCAGAGACCTGAGTTCCATTTTCAGCGCCTATGTCAACCTATAACTGGAGCTCCAGGGCCTCCATGGGCACCTGAATACAGGTAAATAGATTCTCCATCTCCATACATGTAAATAAAAACAATAGAAAAATATCTAAAAATTAAATATTACCATTTTTTTTCTTTTTTAAGAATCAAGATGAGTATTAATTTAACAAGATCTCTGGCAAAAACAAAGCCCTCTTGACAGAGCAGCCAATATACTGAAAAGCTATCCAGGGCAGCTTTAGTCTAGGAATTTTACTTAAAAATTCAGAGGTTGTGTTCATGGTCTTTAGTAATTCCGCATAGTGCTTTTCAGTTTCAGATGACTCCCCCAGCTGAAAGTATGTTAAATTATATATCTTTTGTATGTTCTTAAAAAATGACAGTACATTTCAAACAATAGCTTCTTCCCTCTGGTAAAACGGGCTTACATTTACTGAACTGACTCTGCCCGAGACACTGTACATTTGCTAATATGTTTAAGGGTGTGTGTGTGTGTGTGTGTGTGTAGATGTATGCTTAGATATCTGGGTGAGTGGTGTACACACATGTAATTTAAGTTTTATGTCAGCTTTGGATTGTGGAGTGGTGAAATGGACTATGCACTCTGTAGCCCAGGCTGTCTAGAACTCAAAGTGATTTTTTTTCTTACTTCGCCTCAGCTGATTGCATCTTTGACTTGAAATACATGTTTTAAAAGTGAAGATGTCTGATGAGGTGACTTCAGTGGGTAAAAACACTTGCTGTACAAACTCTTAAGACTGAACTAGATCCCGGAAACCCACTTTGGAAGGAGAGACTGACTCCTGAAAGTTGTCCTCTGACCATCACATCTTTGTTACCTTCCCAACAATAATAAATATTTCAAAGAAAACAAGGCATGGGGCCAGGGAAATGTCTGTCAGTAAAGATGCCATGCAAGCAAAGGACTTGTCCTATTCCTGGAACGTACTTGGAAAACTGGCCTTAGAAATCTAAATGCTTGGTAGCCTGGGCTTGAACTCTAAACACTGGGGGAGCGGTAGATGATAGGGAGGCTCTTGGGATCGACCTATGTGGGCCAACCCCAAACCATAAAGGAACCTGTTTGAAAAATAAGATGGACTTATAGGGCTTACAGCTGAGGTTGACCTGGCTCCTACATGCACACATAAAAAATAAATAAGGGCAGCAATATGGCACAGTGGGCACAGCACTTGTGACTAGGACTTGATGCCTGAGTGTGATCCCTGGAACCCACATAAAGGTGGGCAGAGAAAACCAGTGGCACAAAGATGTCCTTTGACTTTTGCACGAGTGCACACTTCAAAATCATACATATATACAATAGTTTTTTTTAAGGGAAGAAAGAGCCAGGAGAGATTACAGTACCTGTAATCCCTGTACTTGGGAGATGGAGGCAGGAGGTTAGGTGTTCAAGGTAGTCATTAGCTACTTAGGGGGTTTTAATCAGCCTGGGCTACATAAGATCCTGCCTCACAAACTCAGACTAAGTGACTGAGGAGAGAGTAGCATAAAGCAACTTAGACCACCACATTAGTGATCCAGACAGGATCTGAATCCAGGGAGTCTGCCTCCAGTCCCTCAACCATGTAAAGTTGCCTCTGGTTTGCTGAGAGAGTAGTGTGTAAAGTGTGTGTGCATATATGTGTGTTTATTTTAATTTTAACAAATGTATGTACTTAAAAAAATGAGTTGTGGGGGGGAATATGAGCTCAGTTTATAGAGTGCTTGCTTTGTGTGTCTGAATCACTGGGTTCAGCCTCTACAACCTCATGAGACCAGGTATGGGGACAAGCCTGCAATCCTAGTACTTGGGAGGTAAGTTGAAGGTCAGTTT